TATTTGTTGATCAGAACTATATTTTATATATATTTATAATAATTTGTTCATAAAATGCATTTTTATTTTCACATATACACTTACACTGATCTGAATCCCTTCCATCATCAACGCCTAGATCACAATTAATACATTTGTCTTCTGTCCAACCTACAGGTTATCAGACTAGTGAACAATACAACTTCTGTCCCCCAACATTTAACACTTGTTTGTATTATTTTTAGAATTAAGAAATATATGGAGAATTTATAAAAAAAATAAAAAAAAGACAATAGGGTTACCTGTGTTCACTTTAAATACCCATTCATGTGTGAGAGAAATTTAAAAAATGGCAGAATTTTTACTAGCACATTTTTGGTTGATTGAGCTGAACACAGTTTCTTCTTCTTTACCAAGCTCAGTGTAAATTCACATTGCAAAGTGCATATAAACTTTTCAAAAAGGAGAAGTAATATAGTAAGTTACTTAGGAAGTTGGATAAAGTTATTTTATTAGATGTCACACTAAAACTGCAAAAAGGCTATCCAGCATTGGCCTTTTATAGGTTAAAACTGGGATGTCACAATGGCCCAATGTCTAGGTCATTATGATGACATCACAACCAATATTACTGTAGCTGTGTCTTTTGTCTATCAGTCCCACTTGTAAAAGGACTATCAACTATTTTACTGTTATTTACCCTTGTTTTACAACTAGAAAACACACATAAACTACAAATAATGTACTCTAATACTTCCCAAGAAGTCCCAGTTATGGGACTGTTTTTAATCCTATACTAGTATGTGTATATGACTAGGAAATAATTATACTTTAAAACTCTAATATAAGCATAAGTATTAGCAAAGCCAAATATAAGCAAGCGAATGAGTTGACACAACAACAGCTATAATGCATAGACAAATTAGCATGTTCTATTACCCAATTTCCATGCAGTCAATACTGTATTCATTCTTCCCTACATAACTACAAAAAAAATTTTGATATTTTCCAAAAATAACTCTAAGTTTGCTCTATGACTTTAAAGCAGAACTCCAGACAGACAAACCCCTAAATATGCAGTTGTAAATAAGACACTAACACTGATGGTCATTAGTGATTTGTTTGCCCTCTCCTCCTGTCAGCAAGCTCCCAGTATTAAAATGACAGCACTGTGCAATGCAGCAAAGCCTGATTAATTCACAGTGCTGGCTTTCCCAGTCTGAGCCCTGCTGTGCAAAAGATTGCAAAAAGTTCATATAAAAACAGGCTCAGTTACAAATACCAGCTGTGTGTAAATTACATGTATTGATTTGAACAAATGCACAACTGAATAAAATAGAGGTCATTTAAATCTGCCTGCAGTTGAATTATTGAGATTAATAAAATAAATTAGGAGGCATCAGATCTGCATTTTTGTATTAGGACTGTATATTGTAACATTTTTATTACAAATAAAATGTAAATGTCTATTCAGAAAGGACTGCAGAATTTCTATGACTTTGCTGGATATGATCACTTAAGGATTGTTTCTTTGAATCTGTCTTCTTCGCTTACTGATGGTCATCCAATAGTCTTGTGATGCAAGCTAATAAATTATTTTTACTGCAGTACATCAACTACTACTGCATGAGTGCTCTCAAATTCTATTGCTGAACAGATAATTTATCAAAAATGTTTTACCAAACGCAACCCACATAGGGCAGATTAATAGCTAACAAAGATTTTAAATATAGCCCTACCGATCCTTTGAATTTTTTTTTAACTTTCTTTCCTTTAGATTAAATGCTAAACAGCATCCCAGTCAGTATTGAGTCACTGCATTGAGAGGTCCCTGTTTTTAAAGAGTACAGGGGAGTGGAAGGGAAAGCACATTCATCATTTTCTGAAATTTTAAAGCTGAACCTCGGCCATATCTTCAGTTTTTTATTATCAAAGGGACCTAAGCTATGGGTGAAAACTTACCCCGCTGCTGTGCTACAAAAGTGCACAAACCACACCTTTAAAATTATTCATCACAAATTGCACGGTGCTATGAGGTTATAAACCTCTAAAAACAACAATATATGTGAACAATTGTAAAATTCCTATAAAAATGTGCAAATTATAAAAAATCAACTGTATTTTCAGTGTCAATATATTTGCGCCAATATATTTATAAATATTCAGCATATATCCAAATCACTGCTGTGAAAAGTCCAAAAAGACTAGATCAGTCCACTCTTAAGCTGGCTATACACTTTACAAGCATCACACGACTTTCATCTTGCGATGGTTGTAAGGTAATTAAAAAACCGTGCGATCTGCCCATCTTGGACAGACAGATCGTACTTACGATCATCGCAAGCCTGACCCGCTGAGGGGAGGGCTTCCGATGACTGCAATGCTGAGCGGGCAGTGTGCGCTTGTGCACAACGGCCCGTGCAGCATTTGTCTTACGAGCATGCCACAAACCCGACGAAAATCTCACGATTTTTGGCTGCTTTTCCAACATGCTCATAAGACAAAAGACGCGCGACTTTACAGTAGAAACGGTCGGGTGCCTTCCATACACCTGCCCATTATCGTACGATCGCGATCGGCAGGTGTATGGCCACCTTTAGTGATGAACGTATAGTGTACTATTATCCAACTATTCCTCTATTCAGAAATCTAATCCGTTGAATTAATGTGTTGATTAGAAAATGCTTGTGCCACTCATAAAGTGCTCTGTGCCTCCGTGTAAACCAATACACCCTTTGTGGTTAAATCAGGAGAAAGATCTGCACTCACCAGATCTCATACTTCCAATGTCTCTCCATTGTATTTGATTCCACCAGCAAGAATCCTAAACATATCGTAACGTATCCTAAACGTAATCTCCTCAATCGTCAAAGGGGAGAAATATTAAGATCGTATAGTGTAATAAGTTTTAAAACTATGCTTTATTAAAATAGATTAAAACTACTCACAAGATGAGTTAAAAACGATCGCATGTAATAAAATACATCTTTATTAAGGGTCTCGCTACTGCTCCTTGGACGTGAGGATGTTAGCATATGCCCGCTTATCCACACAGTATTTCCATAAAAAGGCCCACCAAAATACTCAGCGCTAGATGCTCTTAATCCGGGCCCTGTATAGCTACCTGTGATAGCCACAGCAGATGTGCAGACCCAGAAGATCAAATGCAAGTATCACATCAATAGAGCCCAAAAGAGATATAAGAAATTAGCAGTCAGACCCTTTAACTGGAAAACAGATACATTTGCATGTAAAATATTGTTTTTCTCTATATATTTACTGAAAACGTCACAGAGAATATTGCAGAAAATTCTGACTGCTTCTGTCATTCAGAAAAAAAGGATGTTTTTGGCATAGTCAGTTTGCAAAACTGACAGCTACTTTTTTAAACCTGTGAGTGTCCCTGTTGACAAATAAGTATGCTGTGGTATATAGCACCAAGCCGCCAATAGCGTATCCTTTACTGTAAGTTGCAAGGTGTTGCCTCCATGGATCGGACCTGATTTTCCAGCACATCATACAGATGCTCAATTGAATTGAGATCTATAGAATTTGCAGGCCAAGTCAACACCTTGAATTCGTTTTGTTCCTCAAACCATTCTTGAATCATATTTGCTCCAAGCTCACTTCTGTGATAGACTACACTCTCAATACAAATTAGTAAACTAAACTTGAGATTATGGTCCATTACGGGAGTGAGCTTGGAGCGGTGGCTACTTTACAACACACACGGGGACCATGGGGAACAAAAGTAGCCACCCTCCAGAAGGAAGGACAGTGTCATCACACCTTCTGAGATGATTTGAGGATCTACAGCTGAGTGATACACAAATAAGCTACATTTTTGTTAATAGGGAACTTAAATGCATTCTTAAGATCCTGAGTTTAGTGTTGCTCTAACTTCATAGGGGTAGTTATATGCATAGCACATTCCTCAATTAATTGTCAATGCCAGCAGTTAAAGGATAATGAAAGCCTCTGAGGTTTTTGCATATATCTACTGTTAGCAAGCAGTAGATGTATGCAAAAAGTGTAAAAAAAAAAGCTTTGAAAAGAGTTAATACTTACCTGTGTCTTCCCCGCGCGCTCCCGTCCGAAAATGTGAAAAATTTCAGGCAGCCGCAAAGCATCTTGGAGCCGGCGCATGCACAGATCACATTTTCGGCCGGGACGTGAGGAGAGACACAAGGTAAATCTATGGAAGCGTGCACCCGCATGCAGACACTGTGGGACAGGAAGTGCCAGCAAATTCAGAGGAGGCAGCGCTGGATCGGAGACCCGCAGCAGCGCTGGAGGGACAGATGAAAAGGAGAAGAAAGAAGAAGATCGGATTAAGAAACATCATTTAAAGTGCTGACATTAACATTGGGGAGGGAAAAACATTTTTGACTTTAATGTCACTTTAAGGATCACAGCTGGGGGGCCAATAATAGTTCTCCAAAAAATGTGATACTAGATTTGGCTAGATAAGTGAATGGCTGGTGTATGAACACTAAGTTATAAGAATATTGACATTCATAATGTATATGTACCTTCTGTACTCATATCAGGTGTGGGTATCCATATGTAGGTCATTCCAACATCTTTATATAGCATGAACATGGTATCTGGGCTCATGGGTTCATTGTACCGGTTGCAGCCTTTACTATTTTGGACAATGTCCCACTCGTTCTGAAAGTTTAGGACAGCGGTCACTCGTAGTTCATGCTTCATCTTGATCGTAACATGCTCCAACTGTCGTGGACAACTTCCCAACCAGATATTAGGCAGTATTCTGTTGAAAGACACAGAGTCAAACTGAATATATGAAAATAAAATTGCATTCATATGCCAAAAAAGGTACTCAATTTCTCTAACTCCCCTTATTTTTAGGGTCAGTATCAAACTTTTCCAATCCTCACAATACAATTTACGTACCCTTTTATTCAAATACTATCAACAATGTAAAATACATTAATTATTAAAAAAATTTAAATGGTTTGGGAGCTTTCACATTTCCCTTGAAGATAAAACAAGATGTGTAGCATAGGCAGATCTCTATGGCTGCTTTTAGGTTCTCCTGTCATATATCAAAGTGACAGGTATTCTTCAGTGATAAAAGTTAGAACATCCTTTTCTCAGCACCAGAGCTATCAAGACACTTATTATTTATCAAGCATGGGCTCTCTTTTTACAATACAGAGAAACTAAAAAAATATTTTTTTTCTTTTGGGGGGTTATTGCCATAGTGTGTGTATTCAGTAATAAGGTGTACATAAATGTACAAATAAAACTTCCTGCTGAATCAGCTGAAATTTGAGCCCTGTGTACCCAGTTTTAGCAGTCCAGATAGTCAGAAGGCTGCTCTTTGCTGTATCCTGTGTGATGCTGAATACCTGAATGGGAAATCTGAACAAAAGTAGATGGAAAACTCCTTAAAGGAGAACTATGGTGTCAGGGCTTTTCCCCATAGTTCTCCTAAGGGTCACGGGAGAACACAAACTAACGTTCTCCCGTGACCCAAAGCTCAGTATACCGTGAGCTGCAGCTCGCGGTATACTGTGATGCCGCAGCTGGGACGGATCCCGACAATACTGTCTGGATCCACCCAGCTGCGGGATTGACCAAAAAAACCCTTAAAAGCTAACAGGCCTTTTTAAAATGATCCTTAAAGCAGAACGAAGCTCTATTATTTAAATATTGATAGTAGGTAGGCTTTTAGGGCAGAAGAGACAATGAGGGGAATTAATCAAAACTGGAGCAGACAAAATCTGGAGCAGCTGTGCATGGCAACCAATCAGCTTCTCGCTTCAGTTTGTTCAGTTAGGATTTGAAAATGGAGAGCGGCTGATCGGTTGCCATGCGGTGTGCTTCAGATTTTGTCTGCTCCAGTTTTGATCAATTTCACTCTCTGTATTTTCCATCAGCCATGAAATCTCTTTCCCTGCCTGCTAGCATTTTGCCTAATTATACACTGACAGCCGCACATGTGCCGTGAGTAAGTGCTGGGATGAACTAACTCCCATGTTCATCTGTGGGTGTTATGTCCCCCCTTGTCCACCGATAGAACAGACCCAGAAGAAGATAATATAATTTACCATTGCTAATATTCCTTCTGTGAATGATAGTTGCCTGGCTGTCATGCTTAATAGTGATGGGCTGAACCCCCCTGTACTTATATGCAATATATTGGCCATACAAAGTGTATGGGGATTCGGGTACTGCCCTGGCGGACATGTATCAATGAGAAAAAAACTTTTAAAAAATACAGTTTTTAAAGGAGCAGTGATTTTAACATCAAGTGAAACAATAAAAATGGAAAATTCCTTTAAATATCGTGCCTGGGGGGGTCCCCTTAAACTGCCTGTAAAGTGGCACATCTGTACAATGTATAGAACGTGCTGCAGCAAAGATGACTAAGGGGGGATGAGTGATACATATGAAGTGCTTTAAGCCCAGTTATACGTTAGGCTCTTTGTAAGTACCAGAAATGGTGAAGTGGATCCACCCTGTCCAGATTTCAGAAAACGTTTTGTGCTGATCTTTCAAATTACTGTATGTGTCTACTGTCCTTTCTTCATTATCTCATTTACCATTTATCTCCCTCCTATACCAGGCCACATGCCCTCGACACTGGGAGGGTACCTTTCCAGGGTTGCCCCTGAAAAAGCACCTTGTCCCTGTGTCGATAAGGACAAGAGCCTCTTCCCCACAAGCTCTGGGGTGTTGGTTGTGGGGATGCGGGCAGGCGGCTTATTCACATCAGGTACCCTTTGGGTACTAAAGGGGCACCCAGATTCGGCCCCCCCTTGCAAATGAGTAAGGGTTACTTGTACCCCTACCCATTCACGAAAGGGTTACCAATTTAAAAAAAAGAGGTCAGACTTTTGTAAAAATCCTTTAATTGAAAAAAAAAATACAAAAGACAGGTTTTTGACAAGTCTTATTGTAAAAAAAAAAAAACACCGATATAATCCAGGGTCAAGCACGAGGTCCAGCATTGTCCACGACGGTGACGACTCGAAGAAATAAAAAATAAAACTATACATAATAAATAGAAACAATAAAAAAAAAAGATGCCTGCCATCCCGTCCGATCACGATGAACTACCGCCGCAGAATGACCTTTTGACAGATGCCGGCAACATATAAACAATTGGGTGGAGCTAGCGGTGACAGCTGTTACAACTGTTCACAGTTGTATGGCATTTGGCAGGTGAGCCATGATTGGGCAAATGTCATCATGACTTTGCCCAATCATGACTCTTACAGAGTACTGGGCCCTGATTGGGCCACAGGTCAGATGCAAGGATTTAGCCAATCAGGGCTCACAAGGCACTGTGCGAACACCCCGCCGAACGCCCTGACAGTTCGTCGAATACACAAATTGCCGATGTTTGAGTCGAACTCATGCTCGACTCGAACATCGAGCACATCCCTAATGCTGAATATCTTCTATATTTTCTGAGTCATTAACATGGAACAAGAGTATGGCCGCTGACTTGCTCTGAGTGTCCCAAAGTTTTAAAGAAATGGAGGCAACATAAGAGTTAGGCAATTAGCATTTTAGGAAGAAGGTCAGCTACAGCAGCTACATATATTTCCTATGGTATAATTTCTAAAAGCAGAAATAAAAATTATGTTTCACAACACAGAGATGACTACAAGAGGAATCATTTCAATATTTGTGTTTGAAAAACAATGCTTACAATATGAAGCCAAACTTTCGCAGGCGCTCCGGGAGTCTCCCGCTATTAGATAGCGGCTCCTGGCCGCCCGGGAGAGAAACACTTTCTCCCAGAAAGGTTTACTCTGCTCGATCGAGCAGAGTAAACCTTTCCCTGCTCAGTTTTTTTTTCTTCTTCTGACATCGGAGAAGTTGGCTGCCGTCAGAATTAAAATAAAAATAAAAAAATCACCATAGGAATGCATAGCTAGATTCCTATTGGCTATTTCGATTTGCAATAGCCAATAGCAAACAGTTGGGCGAAGCTAGCTGTCACTGCTAGCTCCGCCCAATCGTTTTCTATTTTATTTTGTACTTCTTTTTTAACTGTTTTTTCTATTCTGCCCGGGAATCACAGAGGTGGCATTCGGCTATTCACTCACTGCTGTTCGGCATCTATGAGAATAGGCCAAACAGCAGCGAGTAGCCTGCCGGAGGTTCGGCTTAGCCGATCCAGATGTTGGATCGGCTGAGTCGAACCCCTTCTGCACTTCGGGTCGGCCAAACATGGCCGAACATGCTGAGCATGTTTGGCTGACCCGAAGCCACCCGATGTACGGCTGATTTCAGCCGATATAAGGCTGGAATCAGCCGAACCAGCCTGAAGTAAATAGCCGAACAGCGTTCGGCTCACTTCGCTTCGGGCCGAGCATTATAGTGACTAGACCCCTTAGTGTCTTTATGTCAATAATAGCCAATTAAGTTACATCATTACAAACTAGGCCCTCACATACAATGCCAAGAGTTGGCCTTTTCATCATATGTATTCCAATTTGCCCTGCTTCTGTCTTGTCTTTTAACAACAAACAATAAATCAACATAGAAAACAATCATTCCAATTTGTGTTCCCATCACATTACAATGTAGCTGTCTGATACATACATATGAAGTGCTTTAAGCCCAGTTATACGTTAGGCTTTTTGTAAGTACCAGAAATGGTGAAGTGGATCCACCCTGTCCAGATTTCAGAAAACGTTTTGTGCTGATCTTTCAAATTACTGTATGTGTCTACTGTCCTTTCTTCATTATCTCATTTATTTGAATGTGGGATTAATTCAGTAAACATTATTGCATGCGATAATATGGTCACATGACCTTTTTTGTGAAATATCGCATGCAATAATGAGACGTTCAATTCAGTAAAAACAAATTACTGACTGAGATAAATAACGCATAACCTGTGAAAAATTCGATAAAAATTGCATGAAAACCAATAAAGTAATTTCAACAACAACAAAAAAAAGTACATAGTTGTGGTAGTCATTATTGACAGCCTGTGGCAGCATGCAAGTGTAACCACCAATCTGAGGCTATGGAAGTATTCAAGACCACATTGCTGGAATATAAGTTCATCCAAAAGAGGAAGAATGCCATCCTGAAAGCAGAAATGGGTTATATGTGCCTTTTTTTACTGGAAACAACCAAAACAAAAAAGTGAAAAAAGACTAAATAATGAGATAAATGCTACATGTTTTAAAGGAATATTTAAATTGTATACTTAAGAGCTAAATACCACATGAGATATTTTACCTCAAAACTTCATGTGGTATTTAACTCTTAGTGAATTGAGCCCCCGGTCCTTTAGCAATGGTACTCGGTTGGTCTTCCATCTGGCTCTTGCCAGATAAGGTACCAAGAACTTTTTATCTAACTTTTTTGAGGTAGGAGTCCCATAGAATTGGACTGTCATTTGGATGGGTCATTTGGGATCTGGAGCTGTAGGTACTGGTTCATGACCATTCGTACTGCAGTCCAAAATGTAATGTCGTACTTCCACCACTGGTATTGAAGCGATCCCTCCAGGCAACGACCTCTGTGGCAACAAACCAATGCATTTTGATACATTAAAGCGATTTGTGTTGGTACTATGTACCATCTATATTACAGTTTACAACAGGTCTCCTGCATTTTGGAGCTAATAGAAGAAAGATGGTCCAGCCTGGATATTTTTGCGTTCTGATTCTCGGAGTAAAAGCAAGGTCTCTGTCCCATTCCCTTAGAAAATTCTGAGCTTTTTGTGACTTTATGCCCAGCAAAAATACATTTTATATCCGAGTTTCACAATAGGCAGGTTTTCAAAATCTGTTATTGCATTCAAAGCTGCTGTTTTCTTTTAACTGAATGATCAAGGTAACTCAAAGTAGGCAAAACAGTGCCCATTCTAAATTCTCTAACCTTATGGGTTTTTCCAAATGTAAACATTTAATTATAAAAGGAAAATATGACTAGATACCTTTCTAATAGTATCTTTTTAAAAGGTTGCCCTACACATACTTGTCTTTAAATTTCTAGTATCTAGAAAAGTGCATGGCTCATCTGTCAGAGACCTAAAAACAGAAGTTTGTAGAGGGCTTCATTTAATTTTTTTAACGGTTGCTTTACACATACTTGTCTTTGAATTTCCAATACCTAGAAAAGTGCATTGCTTGGTTGTCAGCGATGTGAAAATAGAAGTTTGTAGTGTGCTTCATTTCATCTGTATGGCCAGTGGTTTCAATCCAGTGCCCTATTGGATAGCAATAAGTACCATCCACTATGTTGCTTTCATCGTAAGTACAACATCGGTCATGGTGAGGTCCATTACCTAAGTATAAAGAACACAAAGTAGAGTAATAATTATAATTAACTGTTTAGCTATTTTCAAACAGCAGCAAATGGTTACTGCAATGGGAAATATGTTGTACTATATACATTGTACTATGGGTGAATTTAGTTTTTGTACTTCTCATAAACATTCCTGCTACTTCATGGACAAAACCACTCACAATCTCCATAGGTATCAAGCAGTCTTAAATCTGTTATTACAGGTAAACAGATCTATTCATTCCAACTTAGGACATTCAATCACAGTGTCTGCAGGTATCTGATAATCTCAAATCCAAGAATATGGACACTAAGGTAAATCCACTAACAGTGACCAGAATTTCTCATCAATTATAAAGTGTTGCACATCAATCACTGTCACACACAAGGGTATGTTGGCACAAATACCATCATAATAAATTTGCACATTTGCTGTGACAGTTTGTAACCAGCACAGGTTCCATTTCTTATTCAACCCACAGCTAGAAGAAAAAACAATCCAGGAGCGCAAAGCCTGTAATATCTATACTTCCTGCATATTCTTATAGAGTTGGGTTTTCCTTTATTTCTGAACATGTATTTTTAACCACTTTGGCATAGTAACTATTTACTATCATAGAGGAAAGGCAAGCAAGGTAATATAAACTGAAGCATGGTGAAAGCAACCATATGGATCTGCAAAGAACAAATATATTCAGTAGCCCATGGCAACTTATCAAAGAGCCGCATACATTATTGTGACAGCACAAAGCTGATGAAAAATCATATATGAGGCTATGAGTTAGTCACATTCAGCTGGACTTGTTCTGTAATGGTGAAGACATCTCGCCACTCATACAACTGGCTTCTTTAGCAGCCTACTCCTGCATTTATAGTCACCTCAATTAACATTTTGCCATGTATGTGTCAAAAGAAAATGTAAAGGATAAGAGCACCGCAAGTTTTTGACAAATCCAGTACAGATTTATTAATCATGATAAAAGATCAGTTCGTAAAGCTAATGAGGGGAATTTATCAAAACTAGAGCAGACAATATCTGGAGCAGCTGTGCTTGGCAACCAATCGGCTTCTATCTTTCATTTTCAAATCTTAACTGAACAAACTGAAGAGAGAAACTGATTGGTTGCCATGGGCAACTGCTCCAGATTTTGTCTGCCCCAGTTTTGATAAATGCCCCCCAATGTGTTTCGGGGATCACAGCTCCCCCTGAGCCCCCAAAATGTTTTGGATTTACCCAAGAATCTTTTATCAAGATTAATAAATCTATACTGAACTTATAAAATCATGGCACTCTCATTCTTTACATTTTCTTTGGACTGCTCCAGGAACCCACAGGCATACCCTGTATGTTAGACAGCTGCCTCCTAAGACTGGAAATTACAGCAGAAAGCTGTTAGCTCTAACATGATCTGGATGAATGAGAACTTTCAGAGATATGAGCTTTTGGTTGTTACAGGCTAAAGCCAGGTCTGAGTTTGTGGGCAGGCCACATATGATTGGCTTAGGGCAGCAATATTTCTAGGTGGCAGTATTCAGTTGCCTGGCAATTTCTCTGAGCTTTAAAGCAAAATGGTTTCCTGTACATTAGATTTTTTGGTTGTATGATGCCTCCTCTGATGTAATGTTGGGGCTGATCATAAAAAAAAATGTCTTTTTATACTATAACAATATTGTAAGCCAAGTTAGGACCGATGAAACAAGAAAATGTTCTGTGTCAGAGCAGAAATCCCGGCAGAGCGGTTTTGTTTATGGCATCAAGGCTTGTGTGTGTGTATAGGCTCAAGTAATGGGATCCAGCTCTGTGTAATGTGTAGGACAGGGGTAGGCAGACCCATCACTCCAGGGGTTGTGGAACTACATAAGGCATTGCAAGACTCTGACAGCCAAAGGCATGAGTCCCAGAGGCAAAGGCATAATGAGATTTGTAGTTTCAGCACAGCTGGAGTGCCTATTCCTGGTATAGGGCATTAGCAAAATAACTAATCCAGTAGTAAAGAAAGGCAAAGATTAAAAAAAAGAAAAAGCACTTAAAGTTGTAATGCCCACACGTTTCAATGCAGTCATTTGATACCTAAATCGCTTCAATATTACCACTAGATCTGCAGAAGTTTGTGTGGACATTTCATCCTTTTTACTGAAAAAAAACTTCTATAAAATAATAGGACATGCTTATGGTATTCCTAAGACAGTAACCAAAATATGACTTAAATCATTACAATGAAACAAAAAAATGCAGAAAAGTATAGGTTAACTCGTGGCCAACATAAGGATTTCCACAATTTACTCCAATATAATGATGTTGTTCTCCTTTTACCAGGAGGCCATACAGAGAATAACAGTTCTTTTTGGTTCTTTTTTAGGTTTCCTTTGGCCTTGGTCTAGAATTCACACACCACAAAGAACCATATTCGCTAAGGAGGACATTTGAGAAATAACTGGAGACCTGATAATTATAACCGGTCATTTAAAAGCACTAAACTGTATGTCTTTGAATACTTGGAGTGACTTTATGGGCATAACAGTATTATAGAACACTCTTTGGCACAATTTGCCAGTTCTACTGAGATAGGACTGCCGTGTTCTATAAGAGGAATGAATATATATTACTAACAAAAGTGGGCAGATTTCAGAGTATGGCTGCCATGCTGAATACTATGTCCAATATGTGGTGCAAATGCATGTGAATTGTTTGTAATAATAATAATAATAATAGATTGGAGTAATGAGTAGGTGAATATATTGAAAAGCAAGTGCCCTTTCACCTTCTGAATCCACATTTCTTCTTGACCCTTTAGATTTAAAATGATGATATGTTACTGTTTCTTCTGACATATTCTACATTACCAAAGACTTTACCTGTCATACTACTTGGATAATAAGCCTTTTGCCTCTTGGGTATATCTCTGCTGTATATACTGGACTTGGATTTTTATGAATGAATATTTAGTAAGGCCTGGATCACTGTGTTTACAAATGCAGATAATGGACTACGAGCAGCATTTGAAAGGGTTTACATTTTGAGTCTGAGTAGTTATTGAAAGGATGGGAGGTATATGGTAGAAAAAATGGATAGAAGTAATACACCATTTATATGCTCTTGTAGTGCAGGGGTTGGGAGATGAGGGTATTGTTTAAAAAAAAAAAATCTGGGTATACTTCTCTTTTTAGTGTTTAATAAAAGATCATGGTACTCATGTATTGATGCACGCTGTGTTGATTGTAGACATATAGTTTTGTAAGTAACTAAGAGAGTAATTTGTTGAGGCCATAAAGCAAGTAATGTTTTTCCTTTATTTGTATAAGCAATTAATGTACCGGGGACTCCAAACACTAAGGGCTTAAAGTCAATGATTTTCTGGAGAGTTTTGTGTGTGAAATTCAATGATGTCAACTACAGTAAGTTTTTATACTGCTCATTAGATTTCAAATTTCCTTCTGAACAGACAAGAGCATTAAACACCTTACAACTTTGCCCATGTATACAGAATACTGGCTGCTATATGTCAAAGAATGCTGATTGGCAGAAAAGGGAGCATCATACATCAATTGGCCTACAGGAATGATTTTGAAACCATAGGGGTGGGAGCAGATGCTGAGTGGCTTTAAAACACAGCTCCAGGCTAATTTAAAAGAAAAGTCCCACAGCAGTAGGTAAAATAAAAAATGTTTTTGCTATTACTGTTATTACTCAGAAATTCCTATTTTGTCTCCCTCTCTTAATTTAGATTCACTTTATTACTGGGTCCTGTCCCTTCCTAATTTCATCGCTATGCCCTTTGAACTACCATTACATTGACCATTGAGATTGCCTCAATGGCTAGTAATGACATACTCATTGGTCAATGAGGTGTCTAAGGGGGAGTATACATGTGGAATCATGATGTTCAATTAAAAATTCAAAGCTTAGATTTCATATTAGACAGAATTGTGGGTTTATATTCGATAGTGGGTTCACACTGTGGCAGAGAAATTAATGCATGTGCGCATATGCATTGTGTTAACACAATCCATTCATTTTAATGGGCTGCCTATGGCACCAAAATGTACCAAAAATGGTACATGTACTTTTTTGATTGGCACCTCAACACACCAACATTGCAACACATGCGAGTTCAGTTATGAATCTGGCCTCAATGTTAATGCAAAAGACACAAATTAACAGATTTGTGAATTCATTATAAAATGCAGTACCTGCCTAATTCAAAAAATATAAAATATGTTTTTTCTTGTAAATGCGACCATTCACTTGTTTTCCTCAGTTTGTTGCACAAGCCATACAACAGCTTTACAAATCCTATTCCACAACTATGTTTCAATTAGCTGACCATCTATCATTTGCTCTGAGAATGTGACACTAATGGTTTCTGAGATTAGAATATTTCAAAGCTGTGCTTTTAGAAATGACTATAATCTGAGTTCATTAATTCTGTGTTTATGTTTTATGTCACAAAACATTCCCTGCACAAATAAAATTGTAGCAAAGCCATATAATGAACAGCTGACAACACGGAATTGCCAACTGATGTGAGAAGATACATGAGGCTGTAAATCAGACTAAGCCCTGCACTATTTTCAGTTATTAGGAGATGGAAAATATGAATTTGTAACCAAATAACTGGTCACTAATTCACTAAGAAAATCTTTCCACCAAGCATTTAAGCATACAACATCAAGACATTTCATGAGTACCCAAAAATGAATAAAGAACATCATCATTGTCTAGCTATCTGCAATAAAAGTATTTATGACAACCAGACTGACGTGATGATTTTAACTTAGGAGTTTCACAGTAGTATGTCTCAAAAAATAAACCAGACAAACACAATGTTATATATAAAAATAACAAGCCATTCCAGAAAGGGATTTACTAATACTATTTACTAAACACAGTGACCGTGGTGTCAGAAAGTTAATTCAATTTGCCTTAAAGTAGAACTACCCCCTTCACTGTAAGTGTTTACGTGCTGGTTTTTGTCTAGGTGCTAAAAAAAAAAAGTTATA